TACTAATGAAAAAAATGCAGCTACCTTAATGCAGCAGCTGAGCACAAAACAATGAGCTCTTTCCCCTCCCAAAGCCACATTAGAAATAATATAGATATATTACTTCTGTTTCAGAAGATAGTACGCAAACACCTGGTTGGGGGCCTGCAGGTAAGGCCCTATGAGGAGAGACTGAGGGACCTGGATCTCTTCAGCCTCCACAAGAGAAGGCTGAGAGGGGATCTTGCCGCTCCCTACAAATTCATCGGGGGTGAGGGGGACAGCAAGGAATAGGAGATGCTCTGTTTACCAGGGCACCCCTTAGAATAACCAGGAACAATTGGCACAAACTGACAGAGAGCAGATTTAGGTTGGACATCAGGAGGAACTACTTTATGGTAAGGGATTCCAGAATCTGGAATGGGCTTCAAGGGAGGTGGTGCTCTCCCCTACCTTGGGGGTCTTTAAATGGAGACTGGATAAGCAGCTAGCCGGGGTCATCTGACCCCAGCAATCTTTCCTGCCCAGGGCAAGGGATCAGATGCAATGATCTATTGAGGTCCCTTCCAACTCTAACAACTATAAAACTATGAAATTATGAAATACAAAGAGATGCATTGTGTGCCATTGTGGCTCTCCTTCGCACAGTACTGAGGTGGTGTAGACACGGTTACAGGACTTGAATCCAGGTCTACTACAGTTAATGACAAACTTTTCAGTGGGCTTTGAATCAGGCCCATCATAGCATTCTACCTCAGTGCTCACCTCTTGTATTGGAATTAATAATGCTTTCCTTGCTTATAGCAGCACTTTGAGGATACATTCTTTATACTTCTGCGTGGCTTAGACATAATAACAGTGGAGGCCATAGAAGAACCTGGGTAGATTTCACTAATACTATGAAAAACATTAGCAATTCCCTCCCCAGTATGAAAATAGAGCCCTGTTTTGAACATCATATAGTTTTCCTTCTGCTTTATTGACCATTGGATTGCAACTCTCAGAAATGCATTTGAGTTCCACAACAGAGCCAAAAGATGTGCCAAGCCCAGACAAAAATATTTTCCTTTTCAGACCCAGAAGTGTAGTTAGTTTCTGTAACAGTTCCATGGTTGATGTAAACATTTTGACAGAAAATACTTGGTGGTGACTGCAGTGTAAAACTATCTGAGAATAAATGTACTGTGACTTGGAACATAAGATACAATTTTCTTTGCATAGAGGCAAAATGAAGTGATGACAGAGTTCACAAAACCTATTCTCCTCCTGAAATTGCATTCTGACCTTGCCTTTCAATGGGAGTCTTTCAAAAAGTTAAACTTGACAGTGCAAGAAATTTCATAGACTTTTGTCTGTAAACTGACAATCACAGTACTCCAGTCTTCTATTCCTGCTTTACTTTTCTGTTTGTGAGAATACTAAATAGAGGTAGCTGGGTCTCCATGCCACCTTCAGTAGTGATATGAAGCTGTTCATTTCAGTATTCAGAATAGGCAGTAGAGCAGGAGAAGGAACCTAAGTTTCTCTTTCCTAGTTGAGTGACAGCTGTAAAACTAAGGAGTCACGTGTTCTTTCCCTAGCCCATTTAAACATTAATCATTTAATGTAGGAGTGCCAATGATGCAGCCATATAATCCAGACTACGGAGTTCCTGGAGGCACCAAGAATTTGGGTGTAGAGCAAGTGGGGACAGGGCCGAGCCTCACTGGGAACACATTTTGACAGCAGTGAGGCAAGCAACAGCTCTGCCAGTCCCCAGTGGTCTCTGAGCTGTAATGGGGCAACTCATACCAGGGCCACTTGCACAACACTGGCACTGCTCCCCTGTTGTTGGGATCTAGATCCTGCCTTTGATAAGCCCCATGGTCTGGATCCAGCTTCTGGGCCAAGTTTTGACACCTCTGGTTTAAGGCAAAGTAAAAGAGCTTTGAGAGGAAAGTTTGGGATCCTCCCCACTCAGAACGCTGTACACCTTGGTGATTAGGGCACTCTTCTGGTATGTAGGTGATGTGGGCTTGAAGTCTCTTATTCAGAGGAAGAAATTGCATCCAGGTCGCCTATGTCTTAGGTAAGCGATCTAAAAGAAGGCACTATTAACTCCTCTTATTTTTTTTTTAAAAAAGAGGGAGCATTTTTTTTAAGGTTCAAAGCCATGAAGCCTAAAGGAGAAAAAAAAAACACCTCTACTAAGTCCAATGCACCTAAGCCCCTGGAACAGGTAAGATTTAAAACATATCTCTTTCTGCACTATTTCCCCCTGAATTTCTAGGGCAGCTTGCAATAGTGTTCTTGCTGTTGTGAATCCATTCTGCAGCACCTAACTCTGAAGATAAGGAAAGTGCCTAAAGCAATTGAATCAGGACTGTGAATTTTATGGCGGTAGCAGAACAACCCTTAAGCATTGTGACATATAAATCCTTTGGTAAATTTAGCTCCAAACCAGTAGAATTTCACAAGCTTCACTATGAAATCACTGAGGATCTGAATTCTCACTTATTTTTTATACGGATGCGTAAATAGTTATTTATACCTGCTGAGGTTTTAGAAATGTTGGCCTTGGCTATTTTTTTTTCTCAAAGAGGCCTATAATAAAACATTGATCACATTTAAAGTCATAAGCATAGCTTCACTTTGTTTCAAGTCCCAAGAAATTTCTTTTTTTAGTATTGGCATTACTGTCCATAAAAGGTGGGCCACTGAAAAGCATGCCACTGCAGCTAGACTGCTCCTACTGAAGTTAATAGTTAAACTTCCATTGACGTGAATTGTTTGAAGAGCTATGTCAATGCTTGGCATATTTCAGAAGACTTTCTTAATATTTTAAACCTTCATTGTATGTAGCAGCCAAGCCTTTTCATTATCAGTTCCCAGCTCTTATTATTTTCATTATTTTCCCTTTAAAATGTTGTACAAAGAAATGCAGTGCAGACATATGACTAAGCCTATTTAACCACTGTTGTATAACAACCCTCCCCTATCAAAGTAGTATAAATAAAATATTCTACTTCCACACATTATTGTGAGCTCTTCATGCCATTTAAATTATACTCGCACAGAGCAGGAATTTAGCATTGTAAATTAAAACCCTGAAATATTGCATATTAATACACTTGCTTCCCACAGCAAGGTCATTTTATATGCCCTCTAGCAGCCTCAAGAAATAATGAGCAGACTGAGTAGATTGCATTGTAGAACTGGATTATTCTGAAATTAAATTTAAAAAATACATGGACAGATAAAATTAAACACAACACTAAAATCTTACCCAAAAGGAAATCTGTAGTTCAGCCTGTAACTTCACGTCCAGTTTACATTATCATAAGTACATTTTAGGAAACATAGTGGGCCAGATTCACCAACTGATGAAAGTCAGCATAGTACTAGGGAAGCCAGTATATCTATCAGAAGTAAATCACCTGAGATCTAGTTGACTGCATAAAATTGTGAGTCTAATCATTGTAAAGAAATGCTGAGACTTCATAAGGATAGATTAAAAATTTAAAATTATATCAATTGCATTAATTATCTTTAGATAGTAAGTATTTTATAAAATTGAAAACTGGCTAAGAAAAGAAAAATAGCGGTAGGATTAAATGGCCAATTTTCACTGTGGCAAGGTTCTCTTTTTGGACTGGTACTTTTTAATGTATAATTCATGATTGAGAAAAGGTTGACAGTAAGGTGACAGTTGGCTGAGACATATTTATCAGTGTATTTTTGGGTCTGAAGCATGTGGGCAAGAATGGATGGAAATGCTCAGGAACATCCTGGCTGGATGTTCCTGAGTAGAGGCATTAGAGGTTGCTACCACTACCAAGATATACCACTTATGGCTTCTAAAACTTCGGCCAGGTACAGACATTATACATTTTTTGGTACAGGTGATCAGAAACTGACCTATTCGCATAACAGAACAGAAATTCAGCACACAAAACTGGTCCATACAAAGCTCAAAGGGCAAATGTGTTTGCTACTGATTTAAATTATGCCACTTACAGAAAATCATGTAAGTTAGATCAGCTCTACATCTGGCTTTTTGCATGTCTGTACCTAGCCTTAGTACCAGCCCACCAGTGGCATAACTAGGAATGGAATTAGTAATGATCCCCACATTAAGGTGGGTGACCAATGACTGAAAATCTGACATCACAGCAAATAATTTTTGTTTCACACAATTTCAAATGGGCTAAGAACAGAGCAGGACAATAACTGTGAGCATGTTGATGGCTTGGCCTCAACCAAGGGTTATACATCTGTATCCACAGATGCAAGTGGAAAAGCTGTCAGATCCCTAATACTTTGCTTGTTACATCAACAAGGCTTTTAAAAGAGATTTTTCATAGCAGCACCCCTTTGATATATAAACAATTGATCTTTTGGAAGAATATATTAACAATAGTTAACATGCACATATTTCTCTGATCCATGTTGTCCATTACTTATTTAAAATGCCTCCCTTATACGTTTGCTGTTCTGTGCATAACTATAAAATCAGAGTATCTAAACAATCTGCTTGTATAGATTTAAAAAATGTATTTGTAAATAGATTAACTATCTGTCAGTTGTCTGTTGTGGTTCTCTACAGCTCAGCAATATTCAGCTGTAACACATAAAGACTATTTCTTAGTTACAGCAGCACTGAAACACATTTTGAAAAAATACAATTCCGATAGTGGACCAAAGTCACCCTATAATTCTGGTTCACTTATCAGTGAAATTTTACAATTTACAATGGAAATCAGATCAAGGCCTCTTTGGTCATTGCATTTTTCATCTCTAAGAATTTAAAAATAAGACATATTTTGAAAACTCAGTTTGTTTAAAAAAAATATATGTATCTCCTAAGATGAAAGCATACTTGACAGCTTCTAGCCCGGAGTGATTTTTTTTCAAATGGCTGAGTTATAAACTCCTGCAGATAAGGGGGTATAATAGAAATACTGACAGGCATTTAACTATAGCAATGCTAGCAGGCCTGTTATAATAATTGGATTTGGGGTGGAGTGCAAAGCTAAATTTACAGATTCCTTATGCCTTAGGGGAGCCATTCATTTCTGTCTGAAATGGCTATGGTGAAACAGCATCAGTACAGGTAAAAAAAGACACTTAAAAAACAGAATGGTTCCATCTCTATTAGCTCCAAGAAAACAATCATTCCTTGATAGATTAAGTGATGCATGAAATATTGGAACCTACATCTAGGAATCATTATGAAGAGAAAAAATTGATTTATATTGAATGTTTTAATTTGTTGCTTTAAGTGAAAATGTGTATGAAACCTGATGTACCTGACACCACTAGCTTGCCATTGGACAGCTCACTGGAGTGTTAAATTAAACAACACCCAAATAAAACTGAAAAAAGGAAAGGTTGAAGCAATTAAGCACTTATCCTGCAGACTTTTCTTCTCTAGGTCTCATGCTTAATTCAATTAAAATGTAGACTTCTTCACCTTCCCAAATTGACTTATTGAGTTTGACAGTGCTCAATAACACCTTAATGTTTGTGCAAGAGAGAGAAATCACTTTGTTCTGTCAGAGAGACAGATGAGATAAATTCATCAAGAAATTAAACTCAATAGCAATATTGATGTTAGACACGGTAACACACAAGACTAACAGACCTACATTCCCTTCTCAAGAAATACTTTAATGTTATGTGCTTGTCAAGCCTTCAGCATTCGTACAAGTCCAGTTATATTTGAAAAACAACCATTAAGATGCCTCATCAGTAACCTTCCTTTATTTGTCTAATATACACTTAAAAATTAGAAAGACATACTGGGCCAAATTTGTGATGAGACTACCTAAATTACATTGTACCAGAAATGTATTTAACCTAAACTATATTTTTACTTTTAAAGCCAAACAAGCTTTATCAACAAAAAGGGAAGGTGACTGATTTTGTAACAGACCCACAATAATTTACATGGTCTAGTGAGTGACGTTCACTTATTTCCATTTCTAGTCAGGGCTACCTTAGAGGCATATTCTGAGGATTTACTAATAATTAGGCATAAGCAGCAGGCCTAGCTGAATCAAAGCCAAAGGGGAACTCATATTTGAGAACTGAAGCACAAAGCCCAATATTTAAACAGAATTATGTACAATGTAGACTGTGCATATGTGTAGGGTCAGGGCTTAAGTGACCTGACACAGTATATATACAATTTGTTCACAATTGCTCCCATTGGATTGGGCTAACACCTGTGGTATCTCAAAGAAGCTTGTGATGTGCAACAACTACCTTATTTTTAGGAATTTTGATACAGAATTATTTACAGGTAGACGGAACAGTTATTACTACTACCATTGCAAGGGGCTTGAGCATGCCTGTCCCTGATCAGCTCCGTAGTACCTGCTGACCTCACCCAGGCTGTCTCCTGGGAGGGCACTATTTCTGGACATTCTACATGGTTAGGGGTGTGTCTACACATCTACACTATGATGCTGTAGTGACACACTATGGTGCCATAGTATCCGTTGGCAAAAACTGTGATGCCACCGCTACATCGCCATAGCAACGTGCTTCCTCACTATAGTGCATTGCTACAGCGAAATAGTGGCCAAAAATAACCATGAGTGGCCGGCATGGCACAGTATGGCATGTTACTGACCCATCTTTTAGTACTTCCAAAATCAAGTACTAAATGACAGCCCAGTAACAAAGGCACCATATGGCCACATGTAGACACGCCCTAGCAGGACTTTGTGTCACAACACCTTGAGAAAGGGCCTGCTCAGTTCCTGAGCAGGGACAAGACTCATATGATTCAGCACCTGGTTTCCCCTCACTATGAAGAAGAGAAGCAAGCTGAATCAGCGATTTTCATTATACAACTCCTTTTCAAGAGGGGGTGCCGTGTCCTTTCCTCATCTTTACCCCTGTCACCTGTACAGGAGAATCTGTAGCAGCCTTTTGAAAGCAGGTCATTGTCTTCCCTCTCACATATGGCCTGGAAACTGGGCAGCTTAGAAGTGTCTTGCTTCCCTGCTGGGCTTAAAATTGAGCCTAGCTCAAAGCACCCTGGTGTGCAATTACTCCCAATGGAACTAATGGAATTGCAGTGTAGAAAGATTCTACTTCAGACGAATTTTAAGGGCAGAGCCTTACTCTTTTTAAATGTCCTCATAAAAAAAGCTAAAAACCTAAAATGTGTAATCTTGGTGTGTCTTGTAAGGAGGATACAAAGGCAGCTTGTGTGAATAATGAATTGTGTCATATGGTTAGTTGTGCAGAATGTTAAAACATTCTCTGTGTTTGTTTTTGTGGCAGGAAGCCACCTTTGTTTCTCCCCAAAATCTCTGTGCTGTGACAATGTGATTAGGATGGGCCCAGCAGAGGAGACACACCTTATCCTCCCTCTTTAGGGAACCTGAGCTGGCTACATTCCTGAGGGAGGGGGGAAACCTGCTCCCTCTGCCTACGTGACTGGTATCGGCTACCTGGGTGAGGGGCATCTACCTGGTGGGTTAGAGTCTGCCTGGCAACTAGAGATGTATTTTAAATTGGCCTCCATTGGACCAGGTGGACGAGGTCACAGGGGCCATGTAAGTTAAGACTGCCCAGGAGGAGGGGGCAGCAGCCATGCGGGGACTCACACTTAGAGAGGAGCTTTACCATTGGAAACTGGCTCTCTCCCCCATAACTCATGAACTAGGAATGGCCTGCCTACAGAGGGAATCTTCAACAGCCTCTGGATGATGCTTGTGAGTAAGCTACTCAAGATCTGGTTGGATATATAGCTGGCGGTAACTCAGATGCGTGATCAAAAGGCTACCACAGCCAGACAGTTTTGCTTTATGGGATTTCTATGATATTGCTCTATCTTGTACCCTATTTTCACCCTACCCCCTGTAATCAATAAAGATCTCCTTTGTGACCAGTGTAGGAGACTTATTGAGGGGTGGGTCTAAATTATGCCTAAGAGGCCCCTTAGATCTGTGGACTAAGAGGGACTTTCCTTTTTGGCCCCCAACTTGGGGAAGTGCCCCAAGTGCCTGTACTGGGTCGAGTACCCATAAGACTTTTAGGCCTGTGTTTCCCTGAGGACACAGGGCTGAGACAGTCCCTTCTCGGGCTCATGGCAGCTTACTTTACCCCCAGGCTAGCAAGTGTGGTCCAGGAAGGGGGTCAGCAAGATGCGAGGCACCCCTAGAGAGGCACTTGGAGCCTGGAAGGTGGTCGGGTGCAGTGAGGTGGGTGGCTCAATGTAGGAGTGCCCCCTACTGGCCTGCCATGGTTTTCTTATACTTTTTTTGATGTTCTGAGGACAAGTTTATCAGCCTTTCATCCCCATGGGCTGGATGAATGGCATAGCATTGGTCCATGGGGAAGATGCCATTCCAAGATCAGCACACAGGGCATTGTGCTGACCTGACTCTGTCACACCTGGTCCATGCCAGCCTGATACCTTGCACCTGCATCTGGCCACACCAGTGAGATCTGGTACAGAGGGCTCAAAAAGGACAAATGCAAAGTCCTGCATTTAGGATGGAATAATCCCATGTACCGCTACAGGCTTGGGATCAACTGGCTAAATAGCAGCTCTGCAGAAAAGGAGCTTGGGGTTACAGTGGACAATAAGCTGAATATGAGCCAACAATGCATTGTTGTTGCCGAGAAGGCTAACAGCATATTGGGCTGCTTTAGTAGGAGTGTTGCCAGCAGATTAAGGCAAGTAATTATTTCCCTTTATTCTGAACTAGTGAGGCCACATCTGCAGTACTGTGTCAAGTTTTGGGTTCCCCACTATTGAAAGGATGTGGACAAGTTGAAAAGAGTCTGATGGAGGGTAAAAAAACATGGTTAGTGGGCTAGGACACATGACTTCTGAGGAGAGGCTGAGGAACTGGGCTTATTTAGTTTTCAGAAGAGAAGACTGAGGGAGGATTTGAAAGCAGTCTTTAACTACCTGAAGGGGGGTTCCAAAGAGGATGGAGATGGACTGTTCTCAATGGTGACAGATGACAGAACAAGGAGCAATGGTCTCAAGTTGCAGCAAGGAAGGTTTAAGTTGGATATTAGGAAAACCATTCTCACTAGGAGGTTGGTGAAGCACTGGAATATGTACCTAGTGAGGGCGTGGAATTTCAGTCCTTGGAGGTTTTTAAGGCCCAGTTCAACAAAGCCTTGGCTGTGATGATCTAGTTGGGGATGGCACTGATTTGAGCAGAGGTTTGGACTAGATGATCTCCTGAGGTCCCTTCCAACCCTAATATTTTATTATTCTATTATCCAACCCGTAGATCTCCTCACAGTTAAAGAATTCATTGTGTGATCTTCCCCAATACGAAACTGCTGACATGATAGGTTAACCAGTAATATACTTGAGGTTATAATTTTGACTTACTTAAATACTGAATTCAAGCAAAAATAAAATATGAGGGAACTGAAAGGAAATCAGGCCATTTGTTCAGTATTTGACAAGACGTTAGAATGGGGTGACGGGGGGACTCTTAGAACATCTAGTCAGTCTCTCTGCCAACATAGGAATGTTCCATCTTTTAATGTTTTCTTTTTTTTTTTTTAATCCAGTTACGGTTGAAATATTCTAACCTATGGAGTTTTCACTTTCCATCCCTTCCCTTGGGAATTTAATTTGCTGTCTAAGAGAACTTTCTGTCATGATATTTTAACTTTAAATTCCCTATCTTGGAACAAGTATTAGTATAACCATGACTAAGACATAGCCAAGTTGTCTTCCCAACTTCAATTTGTTTTGCTTGCTTAATTTCACCTTTCTGAACGTTTTTCCATTTGGAACACAATACTTGTATGACCTGAAGAAGAATGCACTGCATTTGAAAGTTTGTCTCAGTGCATCTCAACTTTGCAGTTGGTCCAATAAAAGATATCACCCCAAAAATACTTGCCACTCAAAAAATTCTTATTTATCTGTCTCTCATTGTTTGTAAAAGTTTCTGTAGCACATTGAAGATGTAACATGCCAAATGCTGTTCATTTCTGAAATCCTTAACTAACTACATATTTTAATTTGATTAGAATCTTTTTAAGTGGCTTTGACTATTGCTTAATTGTGGAGATACTTGGCTTAATATTGTTTCAAAGGAACTGTAGTCTGCTGTGCTTTCATTGTTACATCTTTGGATTGCTTTCAATACTACTAGAATATATTATTTTTTCCTATTGGACCTCAGACACTAGATTGCTTGATTTCCAAAAACAAATTTTCTAAATTTCAGTTTTTGGACTGCTGCCTTCTGTGAAGCCATTTCCCACTGTACTGAGTTTGGGAAGCTTGTGGCTACTGGACCTTCCCATGATCTCAGTTTTGATTGTTTCCTTCCTGTTGATAGCATTGCAACACCCCTCCAAGCAATTAGCCACCTGTAACCATCCAACCCCCTTTTGTCCTTTAAGCATTCCCTGGCATGCTAACACTGGCGTTAGCTTTGCACAAAGTAATCCCTGATGACATTGAATGAGAGAGAACCTCAGAAACTGAGAGCTGGGAAGAGTATATAACTAATTTCCAGTAAATTGTGACAAAACACAGGTTTGAGCCTTTTACTGTGGGGAAATAAAAAGAGAGCAAACCACTTAATGAAGTGAGCTTCTGAAAAGACTAGGCGTGGAACATCGATGGGGGCTGGTTTTCCCCCACAACAGTGGTGCTCACCCTTCTAGCCCCATGGGCCAGATGCATTGCTGGATTCAGCAAGGGGTCAGTGCTCCGGAGTCATCTGCAGACACAAACTCACATGCTGCCCTGGCTCTATGAGCTGAATCCAGCTGCAGAGTGACCCTGCATGGCAGGTCCAGCTGTGGACTGTGTTCTGGTACAAGTTGGCACATGGGGCTGTGTCATCTAACCTGCAGGACTCTCCATCTTTCCTGTAACTTGGCAGCAGGGAGTGGTCGCAGTGCTAATTGCTGTGGCTTTGGAAGCTTCAGCAATTAATACTGCCACCATTCCTGTGCCGCCAAATTTCCAAACCTGTAGGGGTCCCATGGGTTAAATGATACTGTCCCACATGCCAGATTCAGCCTACAGGCCAGAGGTTGAGCACCATTGCCCTACTCTGATTTATTGTCTGAAGTTTATGACCTGAGCTATGGAACATGTGAGCAACTAGAGGAACTAGAAAGGAGACTCAATAAAGTACTGTGATTCAAAATCTCTTGAAATGCTTGACTGGCTTGGTTTAGAGTTTATAGTCTTTATCAGTCTGCATAGGATTAGAATATAAGGCAGTTCAAGCTATTTTAAACACTCTGAGTCACATCTTCTTTTTTTAATATAGCCTTTTTTATCCAATTTTATTAATATTGTTTTCTGAATACCGTATTTTAACGCTGAATCTAATGATCCAGTCTCTCAAGGCACACTCACGAAGCCAGTTTGTCTTTTCATTCTGTGTAGTTGAATCTGATTTGAAAAGTGATAAATGTGTCCATTGTAATAGAGGAACCTGCCATTAAATAATGTTGTGTATGTAATGTGCATTGTAACAGACTAGAGTATTTGGTCCTTTTGATATTTTATTGAGAAAAGGTAATGAAATTTATGAGCTGTGATACTGCCTTTGTAAAGGAAAACAACAGTAGCTATTATTTACAGAAGTACCTTTATAAACAATTCCTGTTGAAGGCTAACCTGGGAAATAGGAGGTCTTGTGATTAATCTTATCAAGGTCCAGATGCCATATCCATCATCCTGGAATTTTTAGGCTTTTTTTTTAATATTAAATGTTATTACAGTGAGCAAGGGAATCTTTAGAAATAGCCCCATAATAAGTACAGTATAGTTATCACTACATAAGAGGAAATGCCCACATGAATAATTATTATGACTTGAAAAGTAATGACTGGGATTGCCTGAAAGACTTAGATAAGATTGGACTGTTCTATCCTATTGAAATGTTGCCCCTGTACAAAAAGCAACAAATTTGCATCTGTAGATGCATTGATCTGTAGATGCCCTGAGATTTAAAGATCTGCTTTGTTTTAACCCTCCACAGTACTGAAACTTCCTTTGTTGTGGCAGAATGGCTGCCTTTGGTAAAATATGAAGATAACAAATGGAAACAGACCGCCATCTAATTTTATAAAAACTGTCAGCTGGAGAGAATCATCACCATAATGATACTTCATCTATCCCATAATTTAAGTTGTAGTACATTAATTTGCAAAATATTAGCTGTAGCTAGGTGCTAGTTCACAATATTTAGATTCTAAATGCTTTACAATCTAGTAAAATGAATGGGGGGCAGGGAAAGTGATTAGCATAAGAGATGGGAATGCCTGGGAATTCTTGCCCTAATTTTTTTAGTATCCTTGTGACACTGAGAAAGCCATATCCTACCTCAGTTTCGCATCTATAAAACAGAGATGATAATATTTGGTTATCAATCACAGAAGCAGGTTGTATGACTCAGTTAATATCTGTAAAGTACTAAAAAGGTGAAAAGCACCGTGTTTACTTATGAATTTTGTGTCCATAGTTTAGCACACAGAGGACATTTCATGAAACAGACGTGATAGCTTATTGTCATGGCAATGATTTGTCATTACAGATTAAGGATCACTTTTCCACTGCTGTACCAAATAAAAGAGGCATGTAAGAGGAGAAAGTCCTTGCTAAAATATAAATACTAGCAAAGATGATCAGCAAAATGCATGCACGGGAAACTATTTAAGCAAAAAGTATGATACCCTGACTCAAAAGTTTTTCCCATTCTGTAAATCCCCATTTTATACACGGAAGAGCAGTAAAGAGTTTGCAGAAATTTCTCTAATGGGAACTGATATTTAAAAGCAAAGGCTAGTGGGTTGATTGCTTTTCTCATTAGACAACATTTGCAACAGAATACATCAGTTGTTGCCACATAATGTTTTACAGAATCCATCATGCTGAAGATATAATCTGGATACATACCATGAAATTAGCATATATCCATGCAAAATTGGCTTCTAAAAGCATCTTCATCATATGCTAATTGACAAAAAGCAGCACCACTGTAGGACGTGGTTTTTTATACAATTATTTTTTACAGGCACAAGTGAAAATTCTTTCCTAATGGTCAGATGTCAAACTGCTGCCAAAACAATATCTCTAATAAAGAGTCTTCTTTTTAAGACTGCATAAGAATTTTTTCAGTCACTTTCACCACTCTTCAAAGGAAAAAAAACTTAAGTGAGCACTGCTCTGAGTCTCTGGAGCTGGTTTACCATATACCAATGATGCTCAACCTTCTAGCCCCTCAGGCCAGATGAGGGGCTAGATGCAGCCAGGGGGCTGGCATGTTGTGTAGTCCTGTGGACTGGATGACACAGTCGCAAGTGCTTAATTGTGCCACCACACAAGGTTGGTCCATGGCTGGAATTGACATGGGGTCAGGCTAGCACAGACAGTTACTTTGCATCCAGATCCAGCTCATGGGGGTGGGCCAGCATGTGGCATAGACCTTCTGCATGACTCCAAGGGATAGTCCAGGTCAAAAATAAGGATAGTTCTTAGCAAAGTGTGGGATGTAAGCCCAAGGTCCTGGCATATACAGGTAGATCCACAAAACAAACATCTGCTTAGTGTTTCCGTGGCTACCTTCTAGGTACCCAGATACATACAAGTCCATTTGTCCTAGGGGAAAATCTATGTTCCAAAGAATGTACAGATGTGTATGCTCACTGTCTCATTTCAAGTTCCTCTGCTTGAATGCTGGGTAATAGGTAGTAACACTTTTTCCTGGCACATCCTTTTGTATATTTGTACAGTTATTGTGGTTCATTCCAGGGACAAGCCAGTCAGGCCACATGCTTTCTCTGGCCATCTACTTGCAAAGGAACTGAAATATATCTTGGAAGGGCAATGTATGCAAAAGACTGAGCAATGTCTGTTTTGATGTGGGTCAAACCTCAAGACAATCAGTCCCAGGTCAAATGAGACATCTGTTTACAGTGAAATCCATGGTTGTCTTTAGGATCTTAGGCTCTCTCTCCAATGCGTGGGAAAAATTAAGTACCTAAGAAGACAATGCACAAAAGTCAACATGCTGAGTGGGGTATCACAGAAGTTATCCAGTATAAAATGCTCAAGAAAGGGGAGATGCTTAATTTTCATCACTCTCAGAGACTCAGGCCTATTTGTCCAGATGAAAGGGACATTCATGCATTTATGTTGGATAATTACTGTGAATCCCAATCTGAGAATTAGGCACCTAGGCCAGGTCAGTTATTTCCTACTACTTCCCCTACCCCTTTAAAAAACCTGTCCCAAAGTCAATAACCAACAACCAGTAACTGGAACTGTGTAGAAGTGGCAATCATACTTTCCTAGGAAATGGGACACCCAAATTGAAATTCAGTGCATGAATGATTTAGACATGAGATTCAAATCTAGATCTCCCATATACCAGAAGAGTCTAGTAGTTGGGATGCTTACCTGACAAACTCACCTTCTAGGCCCTTCCTAAAACAAAATTAAGCAGCTTCAACACAAGTGATTAAAAACCACGCCAGAATCCCCTAAAGCTTAACGTATTCTCCAGGGAGATGGAACAGAGGGTTTGAGAATACAAATTGTGGATTTAAGTGCCTGTGTTAGTCATTTTGTAGATTAGGCCCACAATCATTGTTGTTTTTACAGAAAATTGAACCGTGCTGGTTGGCAGTACTAATGAACATAAATAAAACACATAAAATAATACTTCGTATCCATATTCTAGGGACTTACAAACAGAAGGTAAATGGTAGAGTTGCAGTTATCCTGAATTCCAGGCTAGGGTCTTTTTGTCTAGATCAGTGACACACAGCTAGGGGAATGAAGCTTCCTGAGGTGTTATAAGATCCAGCTAAAGGGTGTTGTGCCACCCAGGCCCTGTGTGAAGAGGGTCTTTTCCCCCAGCCTGATACCCTGTGTCTGCCTCAGCCACTCAGGTTGCTCCTCTGTGAACTGTTGCTGCTGCTGCCTTGCCCCTGTCCCCCAGGAGCCACTATACTGGCTGTTCAAATCTCCTAGCATCAAGCAGACATGCAGACACAGAGTCAGGGCCGCTCTTTGTGGCCCAGCTCATCCTTTCCACTCCTCCCATGCTCTTAGGATCAAAGAAAGGGTCTGTGGGACATTTGCCTTGAGGCTAAAAGGCTGAGAACTACTGCTCTAGAGCATCTTTGGTCTCTAAACTGCTCTTGGAATCTCTTCATTCTCATTTTCCCTTACTTCCTGATATCCTAACGCAGGTCATAGGGATTGCTGATGGAAGAGAAACCTAGCTGGAAAGAGAATTGTTCAGTGTTCCACAGATTGATGCTGTATATTAATGGAAATACTCTATTTTCCAACAAATTCACAAATTGCTGATTCAATTGAGACATATACAGGTTTCATGAGACTGAGGCTATATTTAACTCTGTGTCTTGTATGGACTCTAAGCATAATTTTAGTGCTCAATTAGGGAAGTGATTCTACCTCACTATTCAGCACTGGTGAAGACACATTTGGAGTACTGTTTTCAGTTTTGGGCCCCCCACTACAAAAAGGAAGTGGGCAAATTGAAGAGAGTCCAGCAGAGAGCAACAAAAATGGTGAGGGGGATGGGGACGTGACATATGAGGAAACTGGGCTTTTTTACTCTTGAGAAGAGGAGACTGAGAGGGTACTTAATAGCAGCCTTCAACTATCTGAAGAGTGGTTCAAAAGAGGATGGAGCTGCACTGTTTTCAGTGGTGGCAGATGACAGAACCTTAGCAAAAGTCTCAAGTTCCAACAAGGGAAGTTTATGTTATATATTAGGATGAATTTTCTCACTAGGATGGTAGTAAAACACTGGAACAGGTTACCCAGAGAGGTTGTGGAATATCCATCCTTGGAGGTTTTCAAAATCTGGCTAGACAAAGCTTTGGCTTGGATGATCTAGGTGCAGATGGTTGTGCTTTGAGTAGGGGGTTGAACTAGATGAGCTCCGGAGGTCCCCTCCAACCCTAACTTTCTATGAGTCTATGATTTTATGATAATTTATTATGAATAGTAACCAACAAAGTAAATATAGCACACCTCTTGTCTTACCAGTATATACTTTGAGGCATGAATTTCAATTTCTCTAGTATCAATATCTTCACTTTCATAACTATCACTGCATAGCTACCAATACTGTAATGCTTGCAAAGTTATCCAGCATTTTATGGTTCTGCTAAGCTGTTTACCTTCCTTGGCAGTGAATTTGTAAGGTTGAGTACAAACTGCCTAAAGCAAAACTTATTAGTATTAAAAGGAGGTGGGGAGTGCAATAAATCATTTTCTGATAGGCTGCTTCCCACACCAGTATAATTTGGGGCCAGATTCCATTCCATCTATTAGGTGCTTAAGTGGACTTAAGTGTGATTTAATTGGATATATTTCCAGTCCCTGAAAAAAAACATTACCTTGTCTACTTTGGTAGTGCGCTGTCAGCCTTAAGATTAAGTCACAAAAATACATTTAGGAAGAGGAGAACCCCTCTGCTTTCTGTATTAACTATTCTTCAGGAAGTCAAGCATAGAGGAAAAAGGTGCCTAATTTTAGCACTTAGGTGCCTAATTGGTGGAGTAGGGTATGGCGGTCTGTGTTACAGGAGACTTTCACCATTCTCAGGGGATATATTCTTGTATCCCCTGAGAATGGCAAAATCCGCGAATAAGGCACTGCGTTCATGAACACCATCTGCAGTGCCCACCAGCGGCTGGTGGGGGCATGGCTGCTTTGGCAATGGCAGGAGCCCGGCGGTGGTGACAGGAGCCTGGTGGCAGCAAGCACAAAGATGCCAAGGAGCTCCTTTAAGTGTATTTAAGATGCAGGTTCAGCATTTGCAAATATTTAAAACCACAAATGCTAAACCCATGAATAGCAAAGGTTTCCTATAAAGTTGCTGTTTCCAGCTCAGTAAAAATATACAGAAAAATATGTGTAAATTTTCAAATATTGTCCATTCCCATAGAATAGGACTAGGGGCTGTGTCCTATATTAATTCCCATAGAATGGGAACAGTGCCCTTCACCACTCCACCACAAGGGCATCCCCCCCGCTGCACTGGTCTTCTCCAGTGCCCCAGCCCCTCCTCCAACTCGATGGTCAAAGCTCCCTCACTGGAACACGACATGCAGGTGTCCCAGGCTGCTGACTTCCCCAGCCCTTTGAGCTGTGCCATCCCATCCCCTGGGTTGGGGCAGTAAGCAGCAGCTGAACAAGGTAGCAGGATCCAATAGCATTCAACTGATGCTGTTAAAGAAGCAACAGGGGAGCAGCAGCTGGGTAGGAGACGATGGGCTGCAAATTAATGCCTTGTGGACCACATGTGACCCATGGAACATAAGTTGGACAGGTCTGTCATAGAACAATGGATTTTATCTAAACTATATGTAACTCCTTTCTATTAAAATGCTAGTATAATCACCCATAGTAATGCAGGTTTAGGGAATGGATTGTTTAATGTATATAACGGTAATTTTGGTTATGTTGGCAAAATGTTGGCAGGAGCTGATCAACTATTCGGAAACAGAAAATGTTCTCCTGTGTAAAGGAAAAAATGCAGGATATTAGCTACACATATTAGTGGCAGTAGGGAAACAGGATAATTAAAAGATAACCAGAAGGATAATTAAAAGATAACAAAGGCTAACCTTATGTGCTTTAGGCTAAGTATAATAATTAAACTTGGTACATGCTTTACAATAAATTATTTCCAATATATTCTCCTACATTTGCTTGCTGTTATGAAATCACAATTCTTGTAGGCAGGAAATAATTGGACCAAAGTGAAACATTCATGTTAAACTGACTCTGTCACCGGAGTAGTTAGTTCTGCCATGAAGACTACATTTTTTAAATCAGGCAGGAAGAAGAAAACGACTTAATTATCTGATGGTATTTCTGAGTCTTATAAATAAATATAAAGTTTTTTTTTTCCTGTAGTCCTCTGTGAAAATTTTGAAAAATGCCAGTATGATATCTCACACAAGGTGCATCCCCATGAGTGCACACATGCATTTCCCCAGGAAAAACCCCATTCACACGCACGCTGGCATGTGGCAGATTGCCCCAGGTAGGGTAGTGAAGGCTGGGGACAGCACTTGGGCTGGCCCTAGCAGCCTTACCTGGTGTCCTGGTAAGGCAGAGATGTCAGCACATAGAGCCTGGTGTGGCTCTGGCTGGCCAGGCTCTAGTTTCAGGTGGCATGCACTGCTGCCACAATTTTTCTCTGTGCTTTTTTTAGATATCAGGATTTCCTGGTATCTGATTTTGTCACCACATTATAAACATGCAGTGCAGTGAAGCAATTCAGTTGTGCCATGTGTGTTATGAGGCACCAGAAAGTGGATATTCCCACTCATGGGGATGTGGCCAGAAATGGCAAAAAGAAAGGTTGAACAAACTGGTCCCCAGCACCATTGTAGCTTGACACCATCCTGTGGATCATTGATTCTTTGGGTTTATTGGGAGTTCTTGACTTTCCCAGGAAATATTTTGAGATTGAAAAACTGTAAAATTTCATATCAGGATTAAAAAAAGGCATCTTTCCCTTTTGCCAAGGATAAAACAGACAACCTTACCCCAGAATCTGAATCTACTGTATTCAGGTCATGGAGTTGGACGTATATCCTTCTCATCCCTGGTAAGTATCCAAACCATGAGGATGTTGTTTGTGTCTCTCTCTCCCTTTTCAACTGTGAATTCCATCACCATTTTGTTAAAAAAGTCCAGACCTACTCTACTAACCCTGAGGGTGAAGAATAAAGCATAGGGCAGGCAAGTGTGCCCTGTACAGCTTTGGAATCTGGCCCACAGGACTCCCCGTGGGTTGGGAAATTTGGTGGCAGGAGATTAGTGGCTGTTGGGACTCCCAATCTTCCCCACTCCTAAACTTGCAAGCCCTGCAGGGTATGGTGGAGCTGGGCCATGATCCTGCAGGGCCAGATCAGACCCAGGCAACACTATCAGCCCTCCAAGCCAGCAGGCTGGGGCCAGGCTGCACCCCTTTCTCCCTGTGGGACCAGGACACAGTCCCTTCTTCCCTCCCCCCCAGCTAGGTTGGAACTGGGCCATGCCCTGGCCCCCTGCATGACTGTTTTGGGGCTGGGCCACCCCACTTCCCCTCCTTCTTATGGGGCTGGGCCATACCCTCTTCCCTACTCCTGGCTAGTTTGGGGCCAGGCCATGACCCCTTCCACCTACAGGTCCAGGCCACACCCCACAAAAGAGAGGACTCAATCAGGGCTAGGTTACAGCCCCTCCCCACTGCAGGGCCAGGTTGGAGCTGGTCAAAGCCCCCTTCCACCATACAGTTGTTTCAGGGATAGGCTGGTTCCCTTCCTCCTCTGCACAACCAGATGGGGCACCATAGGATCCAGCTTGTGAAATGATCAGAAACTTCTCATCCAGCCCACTTGCCAAAAATGTTAAGCATTACTGGTCTAAATAGATTTAAAGTTATTCAGGTCTAGGAATACAATTTAATTGGATGTTTTCATTTTGTTTTGCTGTTTTCTTTTAGGCAGAACCTTACACACAATCTTTATTTGATTTTCTAGGCACTATTGGGACACAAATAATGAAATAGTAAATGGTAGCCTGTGTCAATTCATTCTCTAGAGTCTTTGGTAGAAAAGCCAAGAAAGTGCTAATTAGTGTCAACCATTAGTACCGGCTGAGAATTGAATTGAGGCCAATGAATTCTTTTTACATAGACCTTCAACTAATAGTGCTTTTTAATGACTATGTAGTTAGAAAATGTTTAACACTGTAACCTTCCCTTATATAAATGAAAATTCCAACCATGAATAGAAGAAA